CCCCCCCCCCCCCCCCTGTTTCTAGCGTAGCGTTTCCAATTCTCAAATTCCGTCGATCCGTAACAAGGCTGCTCTATTTTCGAGTGAGGTTTTCCGAGTTGGATCTGGGAATTGAAAATTTCATTTTTTTCAACTGGAATTTTTCAAACCGTAAGAACCGCCTTCGGGATTTACCATCCATTTTTTTTTTTTCTCCCATCATTGGACTCTGTCGTCTGCCCCTCTGGCCCCCATCCTCCACTTCTACTAGCTAGACGTCTCAACCGGGGTCACATAGGAGGGGGAGGGCTGGACCCCCTCCTACGGTTCCTGCCTGAGGTATTTTTTTCGTGAGAAGGGTACAGCAATCCCTTCCCTCGCGACTCACGAAGTCGATTATGGTTTACTAACAACGAGCTTTGCAGAACGTCGCTTTCATCTTAGACCAGGATTTATTCAGTGAGAAAAAAAATCACTCTGCCGGGACTTAAACCCATGACCTGACCCTTAGCAGGCTGTGAGGTTACCCACTAGACCACCGGGGCGACCGTACAGCGGTGTGTGTATATATGTGCTCGTATGCGTACACGGCCGTGAGAGGCGGAGATGGCCCGGGTTCGGGGAGATAAATGGCACTGGTCGGAAAGTTCCACCAGGCTGTGCGAAAAAAAAGTAAGAATGGCGGGATTTAAGACATCCCACCTGATAATTTTTCCAGAAAGCGATGTATTTCTTGTTATAGCTTCAACAATATGTGCCGCCAACGATCGATCGAACCACCCAATGCCCCGAAAGCCAAGAGAGGCAAGAACCAAGAGAGTAATCCCCGGCCCACCACCCACGCGCTATGAAACAATACGTCTGATGCCATTCCATTTGTTCGGACGATACTAACATTGAACATCTCGACCCGGCGGTTGTTTCTGGACGATGTGCACCCTCCAAAACATTTGGTGTCCCGGCCGGATAAAGATGGAGCTCGAGGACGGCCAGAGCGGTCCCGGAAACCCCACGTTCACCGTTTCGGCCACCGTGAACGGCCTGAGCGTGGAGCTGCCGGCAGAGATGCGGAAGCCCGGGTGGTTTGCCGTGCCGCCGGCGCCGCACAAGGTGGCCGACACCGGCTGGCAAAAGGGATGCGTAGTCAGGTACATACAGCGGCAGAGCGTTTTTTTTGTGGCTTGGCAAACCTATCGGGTCAGGAGGAAGGCGGCGTCTTGTCTTTTTGTAGATTCAATCGTTCTCCACGCTTCAGCGAGCTCGTGCTTTCCGCAGCAGCAGAAGAAGCAGTGCGTTTTGTGGCTTGGCTTTCCAGTGGGTCCAGAGGAAGGCGGCGTCTTTCTTTTGCGCTTCCATCGCTCTCTGTGCTTTCAGCGAGCTGGTGCTTTTCGCAGCAGCAGCAGCAGCAGCAGCAGCAGCAGCAGAGGAGGAGGAAGGGAAGTACTCCTTCGATGATGAGGTTCCATGACCTCGGTCACTCGTCGGGTCTCTTCGCACAACCACAAGACGGTCCAGTATCGGAAGGGTCAACCGAAGACGAGGGTCTGTCTGCTCGCACTCAACCATGTTGAAAATTACCCCCCTTGATTGGGAACGTTTGGAGTTGCCCCTTCCATCCCCTGCCCCTCTTTTGGGAGGGGTGCTTGCCACTTTGGCTAAAAAAATGGTTGGCATAGCAGTCTTCTCAACATGCAATTGTATCCCGATTTGTGCGTATGTATTACAGCCCTATTCCCTAAAACCGTATAGATCCTAATCCAAAGAGGTTCAGTGTACAGTGGGTAGCGCTAGGTTGGCGTGTACTGGAGACGTTGCAGGCAGGTTAAGCCAGCGCTTGTGGCAAGCTCCCATTTTGAGATGGATACCACCAAACGCCATCGGCTCCAACGACAGCAGTTGCGTCAAAGTGCTCAATATGCTTCACGTATAATTGTTCGGAAAAAATGGGGCCAAAATTGTGACAGCTTCACGATCGGATCTCTGGGAGGACAGCACGCGAGCCTTCGAGGCGGGCACACGCCTCGGTCCTTCCAGGGGGTCAAGATGGCGTCGCTGAGGGGCGCGGCTGCCTTTGGCGGCAATGGTAACAGGGAGGGCCGCGGAGCTGTGAGTGGGCCGTCTGTGTGTTCGTAGGGGTGGGGTGGGGGGTGCAATAACGCCGATGGTTTTGTGTCCGAGCCCGCCGGTATCTGCCATATTTTTGTCTTCCTCCGAAGCTAGCTCGGCCTGCTTCTCTTGTGTGGGCCGACAAGACATGAGACACTTGGAACTTACATTTTCCCTCGTTATTTGCCACTGCCAGCGGCGGCACAGGCGGCAGAGCGGATTACGCCCGTGCTTGCGGATCGTGCCGTGGGTGTGTTCGCGTGCACTGACTGCGCCCAGTTGCCGTGCGTTCGTTCGTCGCTCCAGCTGATCCCCAAGCGCCAATCAAGCGCCCGCGGTAACGGCGGTGGCGGTGGCGGTGTTGAGGGCTTCTTCGGCGGGATCGGTCGACATCTCCAAGCGGTCACGGAGAGCGCAGGCGGCCTGCTCAACGATTGCGGTATCGGAGCCCCGGCTCGCCCGGCCGGCGGCAAGGCAGAGGGGGACTGGACGACGGAGTGGATGAAGACCTACGCCTCCGCCTTGGCCAACCTGAAGCTTTCGGAGATGAGCCTTCCCGGGACGCACGACTCCGGAACGGCTAAGATGGTGAGAGAAAATGGGGAGGTTCTGGTCGTCACCGCGCTTATTTTTTTCCGAGAATGTTGTGATGGGTTTCGTCGTCGTTATCGTCTTCATCGTCTCGTTGTTGGTTGGTGTTGTTGGAGTTGTTGGAGTTGTTGGAGTTGAATGACGATGGACCATCGAAAGGCTTCCTGCGCACTCGCCGTGCTTTATGCACCAACAAGCGCGATCGCCGCGAGTACCCATCACCTCGCCAACAACGTCTTTCGAAGATGACCAACTTGACAGAATTATGTTTACTGAATGACGCGACACCATGCGTCGTAACGTTAGGGACCACCGCCGGCTAAGCCCCCCGCTTGCGATCCATACCTTCTTCCCCGCGTCTCTCCCCCGGCCGCCTCTGCCCTCCGCTCCTGCTTGTCTCGGTCTTGTCTTGTGTCCGATGGCCTACGTGTTTGCATTTTTGCAAAAACGCATATGGTATGGTATCCTGCAAAAATCTAACGCTTACATATTCTGCTTGTGTTCGACGGTCTGCGCGTTGTTTCGTTTTCAAACCCAACGGACCTAACTATTAAGGATACGCTTGTGTCTCATGGCCTTCCTTGCTTTCCCCAATAAAACATATCCTGCACAACAACGCATGTGCAGCACAATCCGGTCGTGAGTCCCTGGGCCAAGACCCAAAACCTCGGCGTTCTGGCCCAGCTCAAGGCCGGCGTCCGCGTCCTCGACCTCCGGTGCGGCTACGTGGGCCGAGAAGCCCAGAAAAACGACCGGGTTCAGGACGGCATCGCCGTGGTGCACGACAAGCACAGGACCTCGCTGAGCCTCCGGAAGGCGCTCGAGTGCGTCAAGGGCTTCGTCCAGGCGCACCCCAGGTAAGGTAGCTTGCTTGTGCTTGAACGCGTGTTGTAGCCGATGTAAAAGGTGTGACACACGGGCTATTTTCAGGGATCGAAGCTTGCCTCGGTGTGAAGAGAGCGAAGTCTTTTTTTGTTTCGTATCTTTTGAAAAATATCGACTCGTTCGTGTCCTCCGTGTTTCTTCGTGTGCCGTGTTTAGCGAACCTGTGTTGTAGCTGTTTTCGTTCTGCATGTTTGGTTTTGTGGTCACCCCTCTTGCGTCCCCCCCGAAAACTTCGTTCAAGCAGCGCTGCCTCGGGCCTCTTTGTTTCTTCTGGTAGTTTCATGCAGATCGCGGTCGCACCCAACGACGCTCTGGGCATATAGCAGGGATCACTTCAAGCTTTCCCTCCTGGCATGTCTGCTGTACGTAACATCTTGATGCTTTCCGCTACTGTACGCTATTTCACTTTTTTTTTCACGAACGTGCCGCATCTGATGGTCTGCCCGTCGTCCGTCCGTCCGTCCGCTCATCCATGCATGCCCGCGGGGGCAACAGTGAACTCGTTCTCCTGGACTTTCATCGTTTCCCAGGACTAGGGCACGGCGCCCCGCACGAGAAGGTGCGATCAGGAAGCCGGGGGTGTTGCGGCGTACCGTCAGCACCGCGAACAGACAGGCTGCGCCGTTTCAGAATACAACACACCAACAGCAGTAGCGGTTTTTCAAGTCTGCCGTTTCTCACACCTAAGAAGAAGAAGGAGCAGGATTGCATGCAGCACTGCCTGCCTGTCTGTGGGCACCAACACGTCTGCTTATCTTATCGCACACTTGTTCTGTTTTTTTCGAATGCCGCTTTCGGTTTGTTTTTGGCTCGCGCAGGCGGCCGCGGTAGTGCTGAGCGTCCTCGGCGGGGAAGAGCCGGTGATGATCCACCCCAAGTTCCGCCACTTGCCTTTCGGGCGGATCATGAGCCAGCAGAAGGGGAGGGTTGGCATCTTGTGGAACGCCGTTGAGGTGAGCGTGTGACACCGGTAACAACATCTTCACGAAACCCTGCCGCCGAGACGCCGCGGTAGCACTGGAAACGGGGTGAGCACTGAGAGGACCTAACCAGTAATTTTTTGTTGTTGTTGCCACGGGGGCAGAAAGAACAGGATCGAATAAGGAAAAGTAAAGGCATAGTATATGACAGTGTCGGCCGAACTCGTGGATCTTCTTCGCTGTTATGTTTCGTTCCCAAGGGTTCAATGTGTGTCGTGCTGCGCCGGCGTTGGGTGCAAGACGAAACACACGGCGTATATGCTCGCACTTAAGGACCCTATTTTTTCCGCCAAAGATACTCCGTCCCCGACATCACAGCCGTTTGTGTCTTCGTGACTTAACTCACGATGCGAAGACGCGTACAACCCGAAACAAGAGGCGTGAAATGAAGCCATAATAGCCATCCGACCGACAAGGATTTGGCATGATGGAAACCTCCTCCTCCTCGCCCGCTTCGTAGTATAGTCGCCGTCATTGTGATCGCAACCGCAGACTACACACGCACACGAGTGCATGGAAAATCTGCTGTGTTGTTTTCTTGCAGTCTCTTCCCTTCCAAACCCGCACGCACGGCTGTATGTGTGAGTACGCCCTTCCCTTCAAAACCACCGACCGCGTGGCTGCCCGACGCGTCGTGTGCGTATCGAACAACAGGCGAGGGAGCCGCACTTCTGGCCGGGCGTCAGGCAGGCCTGGACCGGGGCGGAAAGCGTTCGGTCCCTCCACGACTTGGCGGAGGCTGAGCTCGCCGAAAAGAACGGGCTGCTTTGGTCGCTGCCGCTGGTCCTGCCGGCGGGGGTTCCCCGGCCGGTGCGTTCTTGGTCGGGGTTCACGCGGAAGTTGTGACATGTTTGTTTGCAGGAGTTCCTCGCTATTGAGCTGCTTGTTACAGTTGTTGCTGCTGCTGCTGCTGCTGCTGTTGTTGTTGTTGTCGTTGTTGTTGTTGTTGTTGTTGCTGCTGCTGCTGTTGTTGTTGTTGTCTTGCACGACATTCTATCCGAGCGTGCTGTTTCCAGCAGGCGAGAGCGATTTCCTCTTTCCTTTCTCTGTTGTGGTTTTCGAACTCACCCACGCCGCCGTTTCGCAAGAATCGCGAGCACATGCCTAAGATCCCCCCGACATAACACAGTTTCTCTCCCGCTGTCCCCCTTCCGCTACCCCTGCCTGCTTCGAAGTAGGTGCCCCATATCCCGGAACACTTAGACGACTGGCTTTCTGCAGGCGGGGTGTGGCAAGACCACGTGAGTGCCGCTGTACGTGTCTCGTGCCATGAACAAGGGAGCTAGACCAACTAGATATCGTTCGTCATCCTGAAGACGACGAAGAAGTGGTGTGAGGCGTTTCGCCGTCTTGGAGGGATGGAAGATCAGAGGTGTCTGTCTCGTTTGTCGCGCTCTGGCCGTTTGGAGTACTGCTGTATCAACGGCGACGGTGGTGGTGGTGGTGGTGGTGGTGGTGGCGGTGGTGGTGGTGCTGTGCCTGGTGTTGGGAGCAGCTACGAGGCTTTGCTGCGCCTGTGTTTGTTGTGGAGCGGTGGTGACCGCGGTGCTCTTGACGCTGCCGGCGGTTCAGTGCATGCTATGGTGTGCTGGATTTTTCATGTTGTGGGTTGTGGTCGGTCGGTGGCGGCTCAGCAAGCCTCCTTAAGGGCAAGCCCTTCAATCCCCTAGTCTAGACCCTCGTTGATATGGATCCTGTACGCGATGCATCACGCCAGTTCGTGCCCTGACGTTTTCCGCCTGGACACCCAATAAACCACCAAGACTCCCTTGCAAGGAGGGGAAAACGCCACAACGGCGGCCAGTTGTACATGATGTAGCGTGCACCCGTACTCCCCTCGCAGCCCCGTTTGTGTCCCTCGTAGCCAGCTCGTCCGGCGCACACCATGACGCAGCGGCGGTCGACTTGTTCGCCAAGCTGATCTCTGTCCCTCCCGCCTGAAACGTTTTTTTTTTTTTTTCTTGGCGTCAGGCGAGCATCGTTACGTGCGACTTCGTCGAGGAGACACAGCTCGTTCGCAACTGCGTCGGCGCATGCCTCATGAAGATGGCCAGGGCTAGCGCTGAAGGCGACGCGGCCGCCCACGCCGGCGGCGGCAAGCATGGCGGCGGCGGCGGTAAGCATGGCGGTGGTAAGCATGGCGGCGGGAAGCACAGTGGCGGCGGTGGTGGCGGTAAACATGCCGGCGGTGGCGGCGGTGGCGGTAAGCATGGCGGCGGCGGTGGCGGCAAGCACGGCGAAGGCAATCAAGGCGGGGGCGGCGGTGGCGGTGGCGGTGGTGGTAGTGGTGGCGGCGGTGGTGGCGGTCACAAGAAGCAAGGTGGCGGCGGCAAGAAGTGAAGTGCTGCCGCATAACGCAGCCCTCGAGATACGGCGGTTTTCGTTCCAAGACAGCGACCGCGTGTGAAAATATGACCCCCGCAAGACGTGACGCATGCCGCACGCATCCAGCTGCCATCCGACGAAAAGGAGTGTTACGTTCGAGCCCAACAATGGGCTGGTCTCGGCACGTGTTTAAAAATTAGAAGCCGCCCGGTGTAGAGTAAGTAGTACGTGGACATGCTGTGCATAAAACGGTTGGGGCCATGGCGATACATATTCACAGAGCAAGGTAGATAGAGCCTCTGGAGGTGTTTCCGTGTTGTGATCAGTAGACAGCTTACACTTAAGATCTTTGCACAGTATTTTTTGGAAGCTTTCTTGTTTGAGTCCCGCCCTGGTTGCCTTTTTCCGTGTGTGTGTGTAAGAGCCCGACATATCAATATGTTATCCACCTGGGTCCCGGGAGTCTCTTTTTTTTCTCGAGGTGATGACTCTCTAATCCCCAACGTTTTCCTTCAAGTATGTAGCGTCACTGCATAGTTGTATGAGGATTGCGGGAAAGGGAGAACGATGCTTGCGACGTAGCAGGGGGCGGTTGCATTTTTGTTGTCGCTCGCGAACACCGGTTGCCGCTTCAAGGTGCGGGTTCCGAAGCCGCCCTCTCTCGTGCTAACTGTTGAACTCGGACAACGTTGAGCATTGGTGAAATCCTGTAGCGCAACGGCGCGTTAGCTGCCCTAGTGTATGAACGAAAGACGTGGCAACGATCGCGATTGTTTTGGTGGGCGTTTCTTTATTCAGGTTTATACAGACGACGCGCATACACGCGAAGGTCTCGACCCGAGCTAGACGACAAGCAATCTCAACGTCGATGCTGCTTGAAGGTGTTGGCGCTGGGTGCGCTGTTTCGGGTTGAGCGTTTACCCGCGTCTCGCTCCCTGTCTGCATGACTTGCGTACTAACGACGTCATTTAGAGTTTTCATTCCAGTGTTCGCAGACTTCGGGTACGTGGAACATCTCCACAGTGCAATGGTTAGGCACCCTTTCGACTAGGTGATTAGAAACTTCGTGCTACCCGCAACCGTATCTGACACAAGATAGCACACCCCCTGGACCGATTTCAAAGCTCGATTACTCCAAGACGAAAAGGATGCATAAACGAAATGATACATATTTCGAAAAGCTCTTGACGAGACGGCTTCAACGCCGCCGTTGTCGGCGCTGCGATTGTTCCTGCAGTTGAGAAATCAAGCTTCGAAAATCGGTCAAGGGGGTGTGTTATCTTGTGTCATATACGGTATGCCGTTGTTTGTTTGTCTCCTTGTTTCGATGGGTTTCACTTCACCCCTTCATTCGATGTCTCTCTTGTTTCCTATCTTCAGTCCTGTTACAGAATTATCTTATTTTAGTCTACCTTGTATGTATTATGTGACACCCTTCGTTGTAACTTTCTTTGTAGGAAGATGAAGGCTGGCTTTGAGACGTGTATTATTGTTTTTTTGCTCACGCTTTCGCGAATTCAAGTGCTGGTATGCCGTAATGGGGCGTAGCTTCCAACGCGGTATTGTTTGTCAAATAATTACGATGTGTGGCGGGATGGCTTGCCGATGAATATTCGTAGGGGCTGAATGTATTTCGGAGGGCACTGGCTTCGGGGAAAAATATCACTGCTTTCTTCGAAGGCACATGCCACTTTTTTTTTCATCTGTTTCGTGGCGCGCTGCACCAGCTCCGGTAGTCTCTGCACGTCGTATACGGGCAGCACCCTCGTTCCAGAAACTTAGTCGCGTTGTGAGACTACCAGCGCCCGAGTCCGAGTGGCTAAACACGCCGTGCAGCCACCCTTTTCGCCGCAGCTGCTGGGGTAACAGCTAACAAGGTGTGTTATACTTTTACTTTGTGCTTCGAAGTAAGTCAATTGGGGTAGAAATAGTACGACCGAGGAGATCTCGCCGAATCATGAGCAGGCGATGCATGTGGTAATTCCCTTGCCCCCGAATAGTCCAAAATGCTCCCAACAAACGACCACAAATACGAAGCAGACATTGGACCAATGCGACCGCTCGTTGTAGAGGCTGAATGCAAGCGAAAGGTTACATACTTAATGACCTACGAAGCGACGGCAGCGGTAGCATCGACTACTACATCAGCAACACCACCAACCACAACCACCACCACTACTACAACACCAACACCATCACAACCATCACTATCACAACCATCACCACCACCATCACCAACAACAAGACACCGAGTGCACCGCCTCTTCGGAACCTCTGTCACTTTGCCGGGGCCTCGGATTTCAATTCGTCGTGCGTGGGCTACGACCGCCGCAATGTGTAAAATAATTAGGATGGGCACCGGCGTTGTTTTCGGGGTGTCAATAATGTACATGTACAGCAGTATCATTCAGGACTCCGCTACCAAAATCCGATGTTTTGGTGGTACACGTACGGACGTATCGCTCTTTTCCCGAGACTTCTTGCACGCCTAAGCAAATCAATCCACTCCCACACAACAACCAGGAGCGGCATCGTGGGTATTAGTTTCCCCCCGCTATTTTTCAAACCAACCACCGACAAAAAAAAAAAGAAGGCGTGGCACCGTCCCTCAATCCCGCGTTTGTCGGTGGTCTACGCGGCATCATGGCACACGCACGCTATGGCGCCAGCTGCAGCTCGAACTTGGAGAATATGGCGCAAATCTCTCCGAATCTCATGTGCTCCCCCCAATCGATAGCCGTCATGCCCCGCTTGTCCTTGTGGTCCGTGTCCGCGCCGTGCATCAACAGGTGGTGCACGATGTTGGACTCGTTGTGGTATGTTGCGTAGAAAAGGCAGGTCCAACCGGCCTGCGGACGAACACATCATCGGTGAAAACGGGGAGAAAATAAAATAAACGCCTCCTTGGCGCGGGCAGGTGGACAATAAAAACGTTTTAGTTATCTCCATGGGGGCTGCTGGAGTTTGTAGCCCTTCGAATGATGTCTTGCCTTGTCTGCTGGGTCGATCTCAGTGCCGAACACGTCCACGAGCATGTCCACCATCGCCTCGTGCCCTAATCGGCACCCGAGATGAGCGGAGTCATCCCGACCTGCCGTGTTTAGCGTCGTGTGACCGTGTCAAGCAGTATCGTCGACACGGAACGAGAGGCATTCGAGTGTCGCAAGTCTCGTTTAGACAATACGTGGGAAAGGCCCGTCGACAACGTTTATTGACTTGGAATAATAGTCTAATGTCGTCCGCTCTCTTGTGCTTGCTGCTATGATTATGACGCTTTAGCGGTTACAAGGCCGTGAATGCTGCTGACCTTGTCAGTAGCGTTTATGTTGGCCCCTCTGAACGCCAGCTTCTGTGCCGAAGATCCCAAGTCAAGGAGCACGATTTTTGGAGCGGACTCAAGCCTGTCTGCGCGGCATATTCATCGCGGAACGAGAGAGCGTTCGTCGCCGGAGAAACGGTTGCGGTGGGAGGCAATAATGGACACTCGGGGTTAGACCGCGTCACCTCCATCGAGCGTTTGTTTGCTGAGGTGTCTTCAAATATGATCCCGAGACGTGGCGTTGAGGCGTTTCCATCGTTTCCCCAACAAACCCTGACGCGTCCTCCCGATTGTAAAAGCCCTCACACAAAGAGTATTCACCAGCAGGTGGCTACTAGCAGTGCTCCACATCGGGACACCTTTGTGTCTGAACACTATTATTGCTCATCAGGCTTGACTTTTTCACCGCGTTTCACTCGACGACAAGCAGACTACTAGATGTCATCGTCCCCTATGAAAGCTTCGACAAGGTTGTCAAGTCGAAGCTAACCGAAAGAGTACGAGGTTGTTCGTTGAAATGTTCGCCCATCGTGAAAGCTAGTTTAGGTGATCAACAAAACCCACGACGTCAAGGGCGGTCTTGACTAGCACCAGTAGAATATGTAGATGTTTCTCACACACAGACTATCCGTGCCCCTCCCAGAACCGATGGACGGATTTCCATTGTCAAGAAAGCGTAGATTTGGATGATATTTTGGAATCGCTGTCCCGTGCCGTCAACTTAAAAAAAAAATGAAGGAAAAGAAACACTCCACTGAGCTGAGGTGTGTTGTTGAGTAGCTTGGTGCGCCCGGCGCAGTTGTAGACGGCAAAAATAAAAGAACCGCGCGGCGAGTTTGCCGGGAACGATAAAATACAACTGTAGTAAACTGCCCGCGGATGTGGTAACCCGCCGCATCTGTGATGTTCCGGAGCGTGATGGCTCTGATGTGTTGAAGCTGGTGCTGTGATAGCTGTTGTGATGGCGTGATAGCCTAGAGGCGTGACAGCCTGGCAGCGTGATAGCCGGTGGATATGTGTGGACACGGGTGTGATAGCCCAGAGCGTGATAGCCGGGAAAGGAAGATGATATTATCCAAGGGCACGTGGTCAACACCGTTGCAGGCACGTATACTCAGGAAACAACAATAATTAATATGTGGCAAAGATGGTACCACCATTCCCCCAGTATACCACAACTGCGGAACCCCAAAAATTCCTCGCTCCATCTTCTCGGAACGTTCCTCGGTTGCAATAATCTGTCAATGCTGTGAGTACATCCAACATAACAACATATTCGCCTGATTGAGAGCGTAGCATCTGATTGAGAGCGAGATTGCGCGATACGCTGTAGCCGGACTACCACTGAGAGGTGGAGCTTGCTGTGTAGCTTGAATTGAAGGGCTAGCCCGTAGCTTCAAGCCGCTACCCTGGTCATCCTGTGGGAGTCTCTCGTTGTGGAGCTACAGCGGGGAGCAGAAGCTACAGCAGAGCCCACCGCCCGACGCGATACCGCCCTGAAACAGTTTGAGCAGAAATAGCCAATCTGGGCAAATCTAGCAACTTGTCTAGCTCCTCGCTGCAGCATCCGATGACGATGACACGCATATGCTCGCGAAGCTGCTGATGAGACCTTCAATTTGCACCGCTTCTTGGAATAGCCCGTCCCCTACTTGCCAAGAAATGGCAAGAGGCGTCTGGACCCGAAATTTCAATTTTTTTGGCTCTCGCTCTCAATCAGATACTTCGCTCTCAATCAGGCGAATATGTTGTTACATGTGTATTCCCCGCAATACAGCGCTCACGATCGTGTCCGGAGCGTTGATGTCGGTGTCGTCGATGGAGATGATAAGATCCGCGATGTCTTCTCGCTGTTCCATGAGCGCGAGCGAGAGTGCTGTCCTTCCTTCTTCCTGTTTTTGAACCGAGAGGAAAAGAAGGGTTGCAAGAAACGTGTGTCTTTGATCTCTGTATTTCTCCGAGTGTAGTCTGTAAGTCATTATGGCTAGTGTCAAGGGAGTGTTCACCGCAAGGTCCACACAGGCCATTCCATCCTCCCTACGCACCTTCAAATGAGTATGGGGCTTAGGTCAAGACAGATTGACACCTTATCCCGCACCTCCCTACAATGCCGATAGATTTGATGCCGGCGAACGGCCCGCCGCGGCCGTACGCAGGTATAAAACAGACGCAAGCAGCCGGATGGAAAATATACATGGTATGGGGTGTGCCAGAGGAAAGGGTGCCAAACGCTGAACCGCACAGGATTTGTCGGGTTGGTCTAGTGTGACAAACAACAACGTTCAACACCCCAACCTGGACAGTGAACACAGTCGCGAAGGACACTTGCGAATATATCGCAATAGGGTGGCCTTGACGATGTCGATGTTCCCGTCCAAAACCGCGTCGTGAAGTTCAACGTGCGCCCATCCCCTACGCACCGAAGCCATGCAAGAATAAAGAGGAAGATCAGCTGCAGGTGGCGCGACCATCGAGACGCGGTGTATGGTGCAATTGTTTGCGAGTGCTTTCCATGAAGTCCGCTTTCCGTGTCGCTTGCTTGAACGAGGGAATGGTTTTCATTTGAGAGCAAGGGCTTTTGTGGCGCATCAGAGGGAGTATGTTGTTGCAGTCGATCGAGACTGCATGAAACGACCAGTGCCATACTGTGCACAGTGCTTACATGTCGTCAAACGTTCCTGCATCGGCTGCGTTACCGTGATCACATCTGATTATTTGCTACGTCTACACGGGAAGCCCGACCCAATACCTACAGTAGCCTCCGAAGACGGTACAGTGGCCAGACGAACTGTTGATGATGAACTTTAGCCTCAATGTAGCCTCCGAAGACGGTACAGTGGCCAGACGAACTGTTGATGATGAACTTTAGCCTCAACGACGGGCTTGGTGCGGTAGTCTTGGAGTACCTGAAAGTTGACCCCGACACCCGCGAAAATCACGAACCGAGGGCAATCAAATTTGGCTCCAGTCGAGTAGTGCGTGGTTTCGTTGAAGACCTTGTTCACCAAGAGTGAATCACGTTCAAACGTTTCATTGGTCAGAGGAGAACAAAAAGTTAGACTGAGTCTTCAACCGTCAGGTCGTCGTCGATTTATTATCCACATACAAATCTACCCTTGAATACTGCACAGTTGTACTTGTAATCTCGTCCGATTTGGATACCCATGGGGGTGTGTGGTTTGTGGTCCTGGAATAACTAGGTTCTGTATGTACCAACGGTATTTTGAGTGGAAAAGAGTTCACCCGCTGCGGGCACACTGTTGTCGATTTCGAACGTAGTAAGAAATGCTACGTAATATCCGACGACACGAACATCATAGAGCTGGGTGCACGGCGACCTGTCTTGCACACTGTGTGGGAGGGG